AGGCTTGGTGGATTGGCCATACTAAATTGCCCAGTGTTCAGGGATGTGTAGATTAGGTGGGTAACAGGGGGATGGGTCTGGGTGAGGTGCAGTGAGGGTTGGTGTGGACTTGTTGGGCCGAAGGGCCTGTTTCCACTCTGTAGGGATTCTATGAGTTTCATTTCAGTAGGAGTTTCATTGGACGTTCAAACTGATTACCAAGTAGTTAGGGTGTAGTGGTAATGTCACTGGACTAGTGATCCAGAACCCAAACCTAATATTCAGGATACCAAGGTTTGGAACTCACCCTGGTAAGTCGTAAAAAGTAAATTCAAGGTAGAGCATTTTCTTACATTGATTTTTATTGAAAATGTTGCCATGTTTGAAATGGGAACACAATTCATGGAAACTAAAATATGAGTCCTGAATTCTGAATCACACATGACTATAATTAGCACGGTCAGTGGATATCTAATACTATATGCAACAAGATGAGAGGCTATCCTAAGCATAGAAGAGTAATCAAAGGCTTTCCACTTGCTGGTTGCCCCAGAACACAGGTCATCAGAATGCACAAGTTTATTTTCAGAGAAGCCTTTCTCAATCTGACACAACTCTTAACAAAAGCTAACCTACATCAATCCTTCCCGTGGGTTTCCCCTGGTGCATTAATTCTGATGCAGTCATGTCTTGCAGCTTTGAAAGAAAAAGGTAGATGGACTGCTAAATCCTTGATGGTTTAAGGTACATTATATAGTGCACTCTGTACAACTTCTTGTAGCCCAAAAGAGTGTAAGTCGCACAAGGGAAAATATTGGGTCTTGAAGCGAACAAATACTTGGAGAGTTAGAACAATGCTTCAGATTTTTTAACTAATCATGTTGCCTTGCAACATATAACTCACAACAGATCAGATTGTAATAACATACGACAAAACAATGGTCAGGTTTCCATTATGAGAACACTAAGGGCATAGAATATGTATAAAGTAGCTTCATCAGGACAATATCAGGAATCAGAATTATGGCTATGAGGAAACACATCCAACACTGTATTAGGACAACTTCAACAGAAGTAGAAAAGACCAATAGGAGACTTCACAGCAATGTTTAAAATTATATAGTTTTTAAAAAAATGAACATGGAAGTGCTAAACTCCTCCCATTGGTAAATCAGCAAGGTGTAATCAACTTAAAACAGACACTAATAGTCAAGACTAAGATAAGTTATCATAGAATCCCTACAGTGTGGAAACAGGCCCTTTGGCCAGTCCACACCAAGTCTCAAAGCATCCCACCCAGACCCACCCAATCTACATATCCCTGAACATTACGGACAATTTAGCCTGGCCAATCCACCTAGCATGCACATCTTTGGACTGTGGGAGGAAACTGGAGCACCTGGAAGAAACTTGTGCAGACACGGGGAGAACATGCAAACTCCACACAGACAGTCGCCCAAAGGTGGAATTGAACCCATGTCCCTGGCGCTGTGAGGCAGCAGTGCTAACCACTGAGCCACCGTGCCACCCCTCAGAAAAGTTAGTTTTATCTCGAGTTGTTAGAGTGTGAAACCTTTGTCACAGGGGAGCTAATTGGATTAACTGCTGAATACCAATGGCATCGTGCTTAACAAATTAGCCTCTGTAGGCAGGGGCCTGAAATTTTGCTCCTGTGTCACAAGTGCAGAGTCAGGACAAAATCTGATCCCCAAAGCCAACTGAGAAAATGCCCTAGAACTTCAGGATTTTCATTCCTGGGATGGGTGCTTTCAAAAGGAGTCACAGGAGGCGGCCCCAGGAATGGTGTAGAGGCTGCTGGTTACAGAAGCAAGCTGAGGGAACGGCTTGCCAAATTATACTGACACATTACTAAGTTATGAAAAAGAAAGCAAAATGCAATCCCCCAGCCCTTACCCTCCCCTTCCCCAGAAACTCCTCAGATCAGATGCGTGTCAACACCTGGCACCTCATGCCTCTCTCGAACCCCTCACTCATCCCTCAATAGCACTCATACACTCAATACCAACCCATGACCATCTATCTACCTATGGTTCCCAGATGGTTACTGAATTCAAATTTCACCACCTGCTATCATGGGATTCAAACCATGTTCCCATAATGTTTAAATAAAAGAAAGAACTGCAATGCTATGGAACTGAAACAAACAAAAACAGAAATTGCTGGAGAAACTCAGCAGATCTGGCAGCATCTGTGGACAGAAACAGAGGTAACGTTTCGAGTCCAGGGACCCAAAACTGGACTCGAAATATTAACTCTTTGTTCTCTGCACATATGCTGCCAGAGTTGATGATTTCTCCAGCAATTTCTGGTTTTCTTTCCCAAACCACTTGTCTGGGTTTCCGGATTAGTAGTAAAGCACTGTGGGCCATCAACAGCAGCAGAATTGTACTCCAACACAATCTGTAACCTTGTGACCTGGCATATCCCTCATTTAACCACTACCATCAAGCCAAGGAATCAACCCTGGCTCAATGGAGGGTGCAGGAGGGCATGCCAGGAGCAGCACCAGGCATACCTTAAGATAAGGTGTCAACCTGGTGAAGCCACCAAACAGGACTACTTGCATGCCAAACAGCATAAGCAGCAAGTGATAGACAGAGCTAAGTGATCCCACAACCAACAATCAGACCTAAGCTCTGCAGTCCTGCCACATCCAGTCGTGAAAGGTGGTGGACGATTAAACAATTCACTGGAGGAGGAGGCACCACAAATATCCCCATCCTCAATGATGGATGAGCCCAGCACATCAGTGCAAAAGACAAGGCTGAAGCATTCACAGTAATCTTCAGCCAGAAGTGCCAAGTGAATGATTCATCTCAGCTTCCTTCAGTGGTCCCCAGCATTACAGATACTAGACTTCAGCCAATTTGATTCACTCCACGTGATATCAAGAAATGGTTGGATACTGCAAAAGCTATGGCCCTGACAACATTCTGGCAATAGTTCTGAAGACTTGTGCTCCAGAACTTGCCACGCCCTTAGCCAAGTTATTTCAATACAGTTACAGTACTGGTATCTACCTGACAATGTGGAACATTGCCCAAGTAAGTCCTGTACATAAAAAGCAGGACAAGTCCAAACCGGCCAATTACCGCCCCATCATACTATTCTTGATCATCAGTAAAGCGATGGAAGTTGTCATCAACAGTATTATCAAGCAGCACCTGCTCAGCAATAACTTGCTTAGTGATGCCCATTTTGGGTTCCACCAGAGCCACTCAGCTCTGGACCTCATTACAGCCTTGGTCCAAACGTGGACAAAACAGCTGAATTCCAGAGGTGAGGCGAGAGTGATAGCCCTTGACATCAAGGCTGCATTCAGCCAAGTGTGGGATCAAGAAGCCCTAGCAAAACTGGAATCAATGGGTACCAGGGGGCAAACTCTCCAGTGCTTGCAGTCATACATGACATGTAGGAAGATGGTCGTGGTTGTTGGAGGTCAGTCATCTCAGATCTAGGTCATCTTTGGCGGAGTTCCTTGTTCCAAAAATCATCAGCTGCTTCATCAATGACCTTCCCTCCATCATAAGGTCAGAAGTGGGGATGTTCACTGATGATTGCACAACGTTCAGCACCATTCGTGACTCCTTAGATACTGAAGCAGTCCATGTTCAAATGCAACAAAATCTGGATAATATCCAGGCTTGGGCTGACAAGTAGCAAGTAACATTTGTGCCACACAAATGCCAGGCTATGATCATCACCAATAAGAGACAATCTAACCACTGTCCCTTGGCATTCAACAGTGTTACCATCACTGAATCCCCCACTATCAACATCCTGGGGGTTATCATTGAACAGAAACTGAACTGGCCTCACCATAAACACAGTGGCTGCTACAGCTGGTCAGAAGCTAGGAATACTGCAGCAAGTGACTCTCTTCCTGACTCCTCAAAGCCTGTCCACCATTTACAAGGCACAAGTCAGGAGTGCGATGGAATGGTCCCTGTTTGCCTGGATGAGTGCAGCCACAACAACACTCAAGAAGCTTGACACCATCCAAGACAAAGCGGCCAACATGATTGGCACTACATCAACAAGCACTCACTCCCTCCACCACTGACGCTCAGTAGCTGCAGTGTGTACTATCTACAAGATACACTGCAGAAATTCACCAAAGATCCACAGACAGTACCATCCAAACCCATGACCACTTCCATCTAGAAGGACAAGGGCAGCACAGACATGGGAACACATGCACTTTCAAGCTGCCCTCCAAGCCGCTCACCATCCTGACTTGGAAATATGTTGCCGTTCCTTCACTGTCGCTGGGTCAAAATGCTGGAATTCTCTCCCTAATGGCATTGTGGGTCTACCCACAGCAGATGGACTGCAGCAGTACATGAAGGCAGCTCAGCACCATTTTAAGGATAACTAGGGATGAGCAAGAAATGCTGGCCAGCCAGCAATGCCTACATCCCACCAATGAATTTTAAAAAATTAGTCCAGTGAGATTGCCACTACACTCAACCTCCTTTTCAATCCTGGGGCTGAGATGATTGGCCACCAACAACCATAACAATCTTCTCTTTAAGAGGTATAACTCTAACCATTATGTGTTAAAACTTGTATAACAAGTAACTGTCAATGATTTTTAAGCTGCAGAACCTGAAGTTTGGAGGACGGTGTTACGACAGGATAGGAATGAGAGGCATAGTGACAGACCTTCTGCGCATTTACTGCAAATGAGTGCAATATTTAGATACATCATTGGATCATTAATTCTATGGAGCTGGCAAAATGGTCCATAAAAATGTTTCAACTCATTAAAAATGCTAACCAATTAATGCTACACTTTCCCTGCAAATACTTATTTTTCATGTATTTATGTAATTCACTTTTTAAAGCTGTTATTGCATCCGCTGGTGCCATCTTTTCTTAAAAATGTACAATTTTAAAAAATCTGCACTGCCTTCTGGCTCTTATGCTAATTATCTTAAATTTTTTTCTTGGTTCACAACACTCACACAACAGCCAATGTAACAATTCAAGTGCACTACCTCCATTGTCTCCATTCACTGTGCCAGAAACTGGGGTCAGAACACCTGGTATCTTCAAAGATGCTAACTCCAGTCGTTCGACAGATTTCTCCAAACGCTCCACTAAATCTTGCAACTCCGCCATCACGGATATACTGTAAAGAAGATAATCCAAAGGGAATTAAATGGACATCTTGAAGAGTTAATTATGACAAAAAAATACAGCATAGGTCAGTGTGAGTTATTAGTAAAATGATACCATTTATAAGAGTTCAGACAACATAGAATCATAGAGCTATACAGCACGGAAACAGACCCGTCGATCCAATTTGTCCATACCAACCAGATGGGACTAGATAATCTAGTCCCATTTGCCAGAATTTGTTTCATATCCCTCTAACCCCTTCCTATTCATGTACCCATTCAGATGCCTTTTAAATGTTGTGATTGTACCAGCCCCCACCACTTCCTCTGGCAGCTCACTCCATACACGCACCACCCTCTGCGTGAAAAAGTTGCCTCCTAAGGTCCCTTCTAAATCTTTCCCCACAATACATTATGAATCAAAATTTGTAATTCTTAAGCAATTTATGCTCCAACACATAAACAATCAAGACTTCCTCTTTTTGAGCTTTGAACCATAGATAGGAGAAAAGCAAAAGCCAACATTCTCTGCAGTAATTTTAATGCCAGTGAAAAAAATGCACTCTCGAAAGAAATTTTCCTGGCATCTTCGAATGCTATTGCACATAACTGTAAGTAGTTGAACTGTTATAATCAATGTACATTGCAGTTTTCTAAAGCAGAGAAATTACTCAGCTATTAGTAAACATTAATGAAATTTATCATGATTAAACAACAACAAACTAGCCATCTTTGCTTCCAACTATTCTGGTACACAGAATCATGTTTGTTTTTAAAAAGTTGTAAAGTAAATATTGCAAACAGAAAAAAAAGCAAAACAATAAATTAAAAGATTAAAAATTTTGCTACCAGAATAACTCTCTATCGTACTTGAGATGTTACAACCTTTTCAGCACTCTTAATCAAACTGCATCAGACTCTATCAGCATCAATGTCCTTTCCCCAGATGACATCAAGGTCTGAACTTTCATAAAGACGGAAAGCTTCTCCAGATAACTCAAAATGGTGTCTGATCCCTGATCCTGGGCCACCTGCCACCGAAATGATATCCACCACTTTCACCCGGAGGGGAATGGGGGTGTGTTATACTTTGCACATCTGTGATTCACAAAAGCAACTGCAGATCTTAAAGTACCAGCTGCCTTCGAACAGCTGTCCAATTTCTCTAGTGGGATGATCAAATTAGGACTTGTGGACTTTATACTTTGAGGAAAAGGTCTAAAGTTTTTGGAGCTTTCTGGAGAAGCAAGGTATCCTTTTGGAAATATCTAGGAACATCTTTAGGAGACATAATGTGTCCTATGGGAGTGGTCAAATGTGCTTAGGTTTATTATAAGTAGACATGAATGTGTCAAAAATGCATAAACCCATTGGAATGGCCTAACTGTCAAGGATACTGTCCAGCTGTCAAGGTTTTTAACTCTTGAAAGAAGAAGCTGTTTTCTGTGTTTTTTTTTAATCATGGCTTACTATTTTACTGTCTGTTGCTATAAGCTTGTGAGTTGTCATTATAGTGGTTGTGGCATATGGCTGATTTCACAACCTATTGTAGTGTGGTCCCTGTTAGTTCAGTTTGATTGACAGCACAAAATGCTTTTAAAGTCTTTGAAGTAGGGCTATAAATAAGAAATGCTTGTTTTTAAAAGGGGTTAAATAGCTGAAGGAAATTAAATGTATTGATTTTTTTTTAAAAAAATCAATTAGATGCTTCTTAAAGCAGCAAATTAATAATTAAATATCTTAAGTGCCCATCTCATTTCATCTCAACATGAGACTTGAGAGCTTCCCATGGTGGATGATTGGGAGTTGGCATAGAAGGTGTAAGGGCAAAGGGCTGAGAGTTTTGGGCTTGGGTTAGCACCAAGTTGGTCTAAGGCTGTAAAGGGAAAGGGAGAGTGGATAGAGGGGACAAAAAATGAGGTTGCTGGAAAAGCTCAGCATGTCTGGCAGCATCTGTGAAGAAAAGTCAGAGTTAACGTTTCGGGTCCATTGACCCTTCCCCAGAACAGTTCTGAGGAATGGTCACCTGATCCGAAATATTACTCTGATTTTTCTTCACAGATGCTGCCAGACCTGCTGAGCTTTTCCAGCAACTTCTGTTTTTGTTCCTGATTTACAGCATCTGCAGTTCTTTCAGTTTTTATTTAGTGAATAGAGGGGCATAGGTTGGCACAGAGGGCACAAGGGGCCAGTGGTGTTGATACAAATGCACAAGTTAGCTTGAGGAGTTTGAGGGGCTGTCAGGGGTAGGCGAAGTCTTGAAGTAGCATGGGCTGGCATAGATGGGAAATGTGTTGGGAGGTGGAGTGCAAAGAGTAGAGGACTTTTTACTTTGTTTTTCAGCAGCAATGTAGTCTTGGATCACCGAGCGGGACTTTCCCACAGCCTGCCTCCACACTGGACAGCTCCTTTGGCTACACCTGAACTCTTTCTTGGGGAGGCAGGCTAAGCTCCAGTTAACATCAGTCTCTCGGAATGAAAATCCAAATATCTGGATCATTTTCTCCTGAGTCTGACTTGCAGAGCCAGGAATTTTCTCAACTCTGATCTCCTGCTCAGAAGTAAAAAATCAGGTCTAAGCGTTTTTTTGAGTATTAGTGAAGTCATGTTTTCAGAATCTGGCCTCAAGAAAAACTGTCCTTAAACATCCATTAGGTCGCATGAAGATGTATAATGCCCACCTAACCCAAGGGTACCTCCCTCACTAGGCGATAACCATCTGGCTCACTAATATCCTTTAGGGAAGGAAACTGCCATTCTTACCTGGCCTGTCCTACATGTGACTCCAGACTCACAGCAATGTAGTTGACTCTTAACTGCCCTCTGGGCAATAAATGCTGCCTAGCCAGCGACACCCTCATTCCAAGAATGAATAAAGAAAAAAAAAACAAAAACTCCCTAATCACGGCAAATATGCTCCCAATATCTATGCTTGTGAATCCTTTAACAATTTTCAAATGCAGCTCTCACTCTTGTAAATTCTGGGAAATATAACCTTTGAAGTCAATCTCTCCTCTGAGAAAAATGCTCTCTTCTCTTTTCCTACGCGTCAGTCTGTCTGGTGAACGTCTGACTCACTTGTCTAAAGCAAGTACATTTCAGAAAAGTGATTGCTATGATCCCAATAGTCACCATTATTGTTTAAGGTGAGATTTGAAATTGCACTACATGATTCTGCAGTTTAAAACAAACGAATGTTACAGTACAACGAACTCAAACACAAACACAACTAAATAAACTGTCTTAGGTGAAAATTTTACGTCAAATAGCTTAATAAAACATACATTTTAGACAAAAATACACAACTGAACAGCCCCTTTTTTCCTTGTAACCTTGCCTGGAGAAAATCTTGAGTTTTTTTAGGCTATTCACAGTTCCTTCGCTTTCTGGGATCAAACCGAAGTATCAAAGCTCACAAGAATATATTTCATTTTCACTGCAGTATTCCAGCCAAACTGCACAACATGAAACTTATGGGCATCCTTCTTCAATCCTCCAAAATTTCTGAAGCACTTGTGGACCTTTCAATTCAAACTCAGGGTTCGCTGCATTCATGTTTAGTTCCTCCATCTCAGAAATACCCCTGATTTCTGATAGCCCATTTGACTCTGGTCTAAAGGTATGTTTCAAGTCATAGACTCTTCCTCTGCCTTCTGACACCGAATCTTAGTACTTCCAGCTCCAATCCCTAAAGACCTTCTAAAAAAATACAAAAACAGCTTCCTAGAATTCCAATCAAGGCTCCAACCTGAATTACACACCAATACGGTAACAGAAACTGAAAGAACTGCGGATGCTGTAACTCAGGAACAAAAACAAAGTTGCTGGAAAAGCTCAGCAGGTCTGGCAGCATCTGTGAAGGAGAAAACAGAGTTAATGTTTCAGGTCCGAAACGTTAATTCCTGTCCTTTAAATATTAAGAGGAACCTGCCTGCAACTTTTACAAAAGTTGCACAACGATCACTACCACAGCTGTGCGCCTGTCAGTTCATTTTTGGATTGACAGCTCTTAAATGCTTACAAAATCTTTGAAGTGGGTCTATGAGGATGAGCACTTATCTGCTTTAGGATTAATGTAAGTAAAATATTGTACACAGACTTTTGTCATTGAGAGTGGTTATGTCTTGAAAAAAAAATCCATAGACGCTTAAGAATGTTATTTAATCTCCGCATGCATCCCAAGGCGTGCCCATGCTGAATTTTGGGTGAAGTCGGCACGAAGGGTGTAAGTGTGGTAGATGGCAGCAATGAGATGATTTATAGGCTATAAAAAAAAAGATTGCTGGAAGGTATTGGTTAGCATGGAGGTTTAATAGGCCATGGAGGGGTGGATAGAGGGACAGAGTTTGGAATCAGCAGGCAAAGTAGTGGAATGGGAAGGCAAGGGGCATGAGGGTTGAAAGACTATTCATTTTATTCCTTTTTTCATTGCTGCCAGGAGCTGGAACACTCAGGCTGGCCTCTTAGCCATCTCATCTCTGCATCTGGCAACCACTGAAATCTTTCCACAGCAGCAGCCACAACTCCCATAAAAGCCAATCCCCAGAACAAAAAATTTCCTGAACACTTTATTCCCCAGTGGGGCTTGCAGAGCTGGGAATTGTCCAAATCTGCCCTTGAACTGTCTGAAAACTCAGGCCATACTATCTGCAATTTCCCTGTTAATATTTCCCAATTTCAGGACTTTAAATAAAAAAGACTGTTTTACCATTTTTCCAGCAAAGTGAAGAAGTTCACAATTCCCAATACAGTGTGCCATCTGCAATGCTCTTGGCCAGTCAAAACAGATTATTCTCTTTGTATTATCCACATTGTTTATATTCTTACCTGTGTACCATCACAACTTTGCTTCCTTCATCTTAAAGACATAGATTGTAATTGAGGATCAAGGTAACATTTATCCGTATTCCCTACTCAAGTTTGTGTCATTAAACAATCCTTAATGCTTGGTAATATTTTACACAGAAGTAGACTGGTGGCAATTGGTGAAATAAAATCTTGAGATTTCTTT